CTCCACAATTTTTTAGTCTGCACTAGAATCACGGAGGATAGCACTACCCGTGGCATGCATTTTAAGGCCTTTATCGGTCGTCTAGAGCCGAATTAGTTATCGAGCTTTTTCTTTTAACTTGCTGCAGTTTTTGTTAAGTTCTATCAAACTCTTAGTTTTTTTTGTGCTACAGGTTTTGAAATACATTGTGCCTCTCGAATTTTGTAGTTCCGTTTGCTCTCTTTACTTTTTGAAACTGAAAAGTGGTTCTAATCGGGCAGAGCACGTCTTGACACTACTGCTGGATATATCTTTCTTTTTAGGTCGTTCTTTGAGTGCGGTAAACTATTTTAACTACCTATTTCTAGGCTCTAGTTCGGTGGGGATGGATATTTCCTTTGTCGGATTTAAATATGTATATGGTCTACCGGAACATGGCGATAGCTTCGTATTAAGAAGTACATCGTAAGTTTTTGACGGTGACATACTGCATTTCAAAGCAAAATGGCTGTTTTGGCATAGTCACTGTCAACTGTTCTTCGTTTAAGAGCTATGGATCCGTATAGACTTTTCAATTTGGACGTGTTTGAATACGAGCTAAATTCACAGATGTCGCTTTATGGAGCAGTGCCTTTTATAATGGCACATAGCAAAGACCGTTCTGTCGCTGCACTCTGGCTAAATGCTGCCGAAACTTGGGTCGATATCAATTCCCCTCTAGATTCAAAAGTCAGTTCCTTTTTATGTCGGTCGAAGGAAAAAGCATTTTCCCTTTGTTTCTGCTGAAACCAGTTATTCTTTCATACCTTCTTTCAGGGTATTTTTGGGTCACTGGCAGACAAGTTAAAAATCACTAGTGATGCTCCGGAAGTCAGTACACATTTCATTTCTGAAACGGGATTAATTGATGTATTTATAATGTTAGGTCCAAAACCCGCTGATATCTTCAGGCAGAATGGTGCTCTTACTGGCTTCTATCCATTGCCTCCGGTAATTTAAACATTATGTGGTTCTTCCCGCTTATTCCAAAATGTCATGGTTTCGGGCTTATCTCACCTCCTGTACTGATATAACCAATGGTTTTTATAGCTGTTTTCGTTGGCCTATCACCAGTCTAGGTGGAATTACAATGATCAAGACGACGTTGCTGCTGTACATGCTAACTTCGACAAATACGACATCCCTGTTGATGTTATTTGGCTTGATATTGAACATACCGATGGGAAACGTTACTTTACCTGGGATCAGGCCAAATTTTCTACCCCGCTTGAAATGATTGATGCTCTTGTCACGAAAGTAAATTCATTCATTTCAGATTCCTGTGTCTTTAGTTAATTCTGTTTGACACTGACTTAATAACGATGTTTAATATTCTTATCGCCACTTTTT